ATATCTTACTGCGCTACCGTCGTTAGTCACTAATTAACCAAGTACGAGAAGCAGTCAACTTCAGCTAATTCCTGACCATCAAGTTTCAGAACGGGACTTGGTGACACCCAGTCTGAAGTTTGAAGATGCAAAGCACATACCGAATGTAGTAACAGCACTCATTAGTCTATCAAGTGCGCTTTGCGCGTCCTCCATATATTCGAACAGATAGACAATGTCATCAGCGTGCTCTAAATCGCACAGTTGGTCTCCATCTGTCCATTCAATTCAAACTTTCTGGAGACCACTAAGTGCGTCCTCCAGTATGTCGTCTACGACGAAATTGAACAGGAATGGCGAAATGAACGGGAATGGTTTACTATCGAACATACGTTTGAGAAGAATGAGTAAAACAAAATGATCCCTTCTGACTACAGATGTATAAAGCTCGTTTCCGAAAACGATATTGTCTTTCGTTGCAAGAAGCGAAATAAATATGGATTTGAAGGTAATGTAAATATTTGTCAGAAAAGGCAGCTACACATCGTTGAGAATTTTACTTATTATTTCAATTACTTCATCAATTTATTTACCGGTGGAAAATGTTTCACAGGTATATGAGCAACAAATCGTGTTTCTTTTTGATACCATGCCAAGGTTAGTTAGTTAGCAGATGCAAACAATACAAAGCTTGAGTATCCAAAACAGCAACCCCACTGACTAAACCGAGCCTGTAGACTTCCACGAGTTTTGTGTAATCAGGCTATTGATAACCGAGCACCGGATACCTTATACATCAGATCAAGACAACCTCCTTTTAGCGTCAACCATCAGTATCATTATTGGCAGTGGTAATGAAACGGTTCAAGTTACTGTTACCTACTCGTTCAAGGGATTCAAAGATTCTAGGTTCGAACCGAGCTACCACCAACCGGCTTACGTATCTACTTCCTTTTTTTACTGAATACGTAATTTTGCAATTGTAGGAGAACGCTTACTACAATCACTGGGTAAATTGGGGAGTGGGGGCGGTGATGGGTTTTTTGACATGCCACCTCCGGGTGACCTCAATTGCTTGATGGAAGACAGTTTTACTGATTTCCGGCTCAACGCCATGCCTAATCTATTGGAGGCCTTACATAGTTCACTACTGCAAGCCGCAAGTCTTAATTAAGTTGCCGATTTCTGCAACTGAAAGGTAAGTCCTTGTGACTGTATGGTTCGCTTTCTTTACTGCTCAGTAATGACGGAAGCGAGGTTCGCTGATCGCTGCCAGACTGAGGTACAAAGTAAATTTGTAAGAAGAGTGAATGGGCCTGTTGTTGATAGGGAAAATCAACTAAACTACTACGATCAACACGACGTGCACACCAAGAGTCCATGTGATCGATTAGATCGAGCTCTGTATTCACCGGAACTGCAGTATATTCCAGTACAGAAAGCATTCTATTACGAACGCAAATCATTATTATTCGTGGTATTGAGATGACATTTACAGAATATACGAAAACAAACAACGGATTAGTTCCCAGTTTATTAAGTCGAAAAATCAATCTGTTTTGTGATTCATACCGTTGAAACAAAACAACAAAATGCAAAGTTTACTAAAGTTAGGACTAAAGTGTACAATCACCGAAAAAAGACCAGACTTTTGGTTACCTGTGACGCCTGTTCAAAAAAGTAATGAAGTAGAACATAAATCTTAATGGAATTCAGCTTTAACCGGACGTAAATGCTAATTGTGTGCCTATTCAAGCTTTAGCTCTTATCCCCCGCCTACATTGTCACCAATTAGCCTTGATATACTACCTTTATTTATTTTTACTGCGGTTCAGCGAACTATTTAACCTGTGGACAGGCGTTTACATTTCTGCTTCTAAGTATAACGCTCCTCCGACTTAAGTCTATATTATGTTCTCTCCAAACCGGATGGTGACAAACCGTCCGATCCCGGCGATTTGGAGATGATTTTAGATCGTCGTATTTTTGGGCGGTTCTGTGAACAGGATCCAAGTCGCGTTTTCATGAGGACTGTTCGGAGTAGCCAGCGCGGGATGTGAACTGAGTTCCAAACGTCATTCGAGCTCGACCAGCTTGTAGGATATCAACTGTGATCCCCTATCCCACGAGGAGATAACCACCGTTATCGACCGATTTAAGTCTGGAAAGGGTCCAGGTAAAGACAAAATCTACAAGAAACGCCTCCTGCCGGTCGCCAAACCACTTCACACTCCGCTTCGCTCTATTTGGGAGACCGAAAGACGTCCTTCAGATGGGGCCCTCTTGGGTTTTGCTTCCATTATCCAGGAAGGGTGACAGGACCAAAGGTGTAAATTGCTGGGGTATCAGTCTTCTGGACGCAGCTGCAAAAGCTTTCACCCAGTTAGCACGGAATCACTTTGTAACGAGACGTACACGCACCAGGATCAATCATGAAGGCATAGGTCACGGCACAGAATGCAACGATCAGACTTTCATCCTTCGGAAAATGTTTGAATGCCGCTACAGGTTTGAGCGCTTCACTGCACAAGCTTTATAGACTTTCGTGCAACATTCGTCTCAGTAGACCGCGAGCCGTTGTGAAAGTTAATACTTCCAGGCGGCATCTCAATTAAGCTGGTTAATCTGATGAGATCCTATTATCCCACTACAAAAGCACGTTTCCGTATCAACGGCAAAGAGTTCTATCCGATCGAGATAATTTCAGGAGTACGACAAAAATGTCTTCTATCCCCAGTGTCACTCGAATCTTTTCATAACACACAAAGTGTTTCACGGCAAAAGGAGGGGGGGGGGTAAATCCCATAGTCAATGACTGTAAGGGGCAAGGTATGTGGGGGAAATATTCAGGTTAGAACCAAGTTGCTAATCTCGCTTTTGAGAAGAGTAAAGTTATAAGTATTTGGAAATATGCAGATAGGCAGTGTTCCCCCAACTTCACAGTCCTGTGAAAAAAGAGGACTGTAAGACAGAAATCTAATTTCTGGGGACAGAAACCTAATAAGAGTGACTTCCTGCGTGAAAATGAGATGAACGAGAAAAGGGTGAGCGGAGGGGAAACGCTCAAACGAGTTCAGAACATCAGAAACAAAAAAGTAACGATAAAAAGATAACGAAGCAACTGGCCGACGATGGGAATGCGAATACGGATTGGAAGTAAAAGACAGTCAGTTGATCAACCGGATGTTCTGAAGTTGAACACGGTTGAGAAGACAAATATTGAAATACTAGCTTCAGCAACAACAAACGATATAGTCTGGTTAGCGCCTGACTGGCTGAACTGTTGGGTGAAATACTTCACCCACCGGTTAAGTCGTCGTTCCTTATTGTGAATAGCTTGTCCACTTTTGTCGAAGATCGTTGCACTTATTGCGCTTCGTCGACCTCCCATATTGCGTATAAGTTGGAACAGTCTTTGACTATTCCTTGTTGCAGCTGCTACTTCCATTTCCCTAACTATCGTTGACCACCAGTTATCACGGTCTTTCTTGAGGCTCCTCGTGAGTTGACGTTGTAGACGCCATCTACCCCTGCCTTGATCCCGGACGGTCGGGATTTGTCGCTTTTTCTCCACCAATCTTACTGACTGATCAGATATCCAGTGCATCGGGTGGGCTACCGCTTCAGATCCACAAGCAACCTTCGCTGCGGAGTGCACTGCTCAGCTAATCTGATCCCAGTGTTCATCTACACTACCACCCGTAGAGCGTTTTTAGCTCAAGGCCTGGTTCTCGTTCAAAACGGGCACGAACGGCTGGGTCGGATAAACGATGATCTACCAATCGAGTAAATTGCATCAAAACTAACGCATGATCAGATTCAACGCAAGTGGGCCAATACGACCTGTAATTTTGTACTCAGTTACGCCAACGGTAGCTTACTGCCATGTGGTCGATCAGAGTTAGCATGCCAGTCGAGTTTAAGCACCACGTTGCTGCCCGTTGAGAGCTGTGTCGGAAGTTGGTGCTGGATAGGAACAGATGATGATCTGCGCAGAACTGAAGCAGTCGATCGCTATTATCTGTTGACTCCGACCGTTAGACTCATACCAGACCAAACTTAGGTACGGTCGATTGGATGAAGCGGGGTTTATTAAAGGTTTGAGTGGATTCTATTCCCGTAGCACTTTCCGTTGCTTCTCATGAGGGAACCATGGAAGAGGACACTGTATGCATTTTCCCCTTAGTCTGAGACCAGTGTGTATGCCAACACATCATACGGTACAAACTTTTAAGGCAATGAAATCAAAGCTAAATTTGTTTCGGGCGTGATGATGCATCTGACCGTAGTCAAAATCGATGAAATTCTTAAGGATTTACAGTTAGAGTCTTTGACTAGTCAGATCCTGACCAGCTTGTTCGGTTGGGATGACCGCGATTTATTGATGCCTGGCCACTACGCAATTTGCACACCTAAGGCACCCAATACAACCTACTGAACTGCCTATCTTCGTAATCGAGAGATGATGAAAATAGATCATACACCTAGTAAGTTTCCAGCTCCCAGGTGAGTCATGGATCAAATAATCACGATAGTAATACGTATGCTTATATGTGCTTTAGATTTTGTGCATATAACCTGCGCTGGGGTGACAATTCATGATCAGTTACATCAACTTTAGTAGATGGTTGATATTTAGGAAATTTACTCCCTTTGTTGTGTAAACCATTACAGTCGGAATCGGGTGAAAATCAGTTGAACAAAAATGTGTCAAAACTGTGTGTTCGAGTATTGTTGAAATGAGAGACCGACCTGTGTACATTTCAATCGCTTTCCCCAAGCAGTCAATCGCTTTTCGCGGATCGATCTTTTTGTACGCAGCCGAGGCATCCACATAGTAACTTGCGGCATCATGTTTGGACTTCTCTTGTAAACTTAGCCGAGCAGCTTCGAGGAAAGCTTCTGCAGCCTCTGGAGAGACAAACGGAAATCGGGAGGGAGTGAGGAGTTTAGATAGGGAACAAACGAAGCGAATGTACCTTGCCAATTGTGAGCCATTTTGAAACAGTTGGCCGCCTTCACATACAAATTGATCATTTCTTGAGCGCGATCCGCATTCCTGTAACGGGCCGAATCGGGTGTGGACAGACAGGAACACATTACACAATGTAGTAGTAGTTGAAAGTGACCTCGGAGTTTACGCAGTACAACTGAACTTCCACCAGAAAAAACAGATTAGGCTTCTGGTTAGCGAGATAAAGCATACATGACGCTTTGTTGTTGTGAAAGTAGTATTTAGTTGCGCAATAACGGGGAACGAATTCTAAAATGAAAACTAAGCAAATGGTACTGAGTTATAACAGAAAAATCAATAATCGTTAAATTCTTAGAAGAGCAGAAGAGCGGACCAGTTGAGCTACTCTCGCAGAGGAACAACATTCGGTTTGGTCTGATGTTGAGTTGCGTTTCAACACGGGTCCCCCCCATACCTTATATATTGATCGACGGTTAGCCACAGAAAGCACACAATCACTGGTGAAAATCGTGCAGATGAAAACGTGATTCGAAGATTGTCCGAACCGGTCACGTAGAGTTAAACTTTCAGGATGTTCATCTGGGATGCGATTAGAGAAACCAGAATGTACGATCAAACACCACTGATGAATGCAACTAGTTTTCTCTCAACTTCAATCATACTCGCGTCCATTCGCTTTGTTGAATGCATGATGGAAAATTAGAGTGGCAAAATGCAAACAGACCGTTTGTTTGGATGCAACTTAAATGGATACCGTGGAGTGCACCGATATACGTGAGCCCGAATGAGAAATGCAAGAGAAAACGTTCATATGGAAATGGGCACACATGATAAAAGAGGATTCAACATCGAATGAATCTGCATCCGAAGTAAAGCCACTGATAATAGTAAAACTGTGTGGGATTAAAATAGAAGTAACTACTAGGATTTCTTGGGGGATGAACTGATCGCGTGGGTGTTTCACCGTCCTAAGCGACTCTAAATACTTTCGAAAGACCGGCGTTCTTAGCCTCTGCTGGAAACATTAGACTCAACCTTATCGTGACGTAGACATTGTCACTGAAGAAAATAAAACCCGGTCTGTGAGGCTAGAATCGAGGTGATGAGCGTCCAATAGTCCGTTAGCCTAGATCAAACAATTATTCCAAATTGATAATTATCAGGAATGTGAACGGAACCTAGGACTACTAGACACATTAATCATCAATTCGACCGGGAAATTCTGTAATGAGCGGCCTGAACGTGTGCCCTGTGAAACGCAGGGAGTGATCTAACAGACGAGACAAGGAAGTCCAAATGACTAAAGGCTTGAAAGGCTGTATCTAACCAACCGTCTTGTAGGTTAAACTATTTTATAAAAAGCTAGTGATGAGGATCTTCAAGATAACTTCCTCTTCTGGATTGGATGACTAAGTAGTATATGGCGGCGTATATA